CTGGCCCCTAAAGCCCTAGATTCCTAGCCTCCTCCCCCTGAGATGATGGGGATGGCCACGTCTGGGCTTTTAGGTCCCCCATTCCTCTGGGCTCAAAGCACGTCCTGTCACAGACCCATGACAGGCGGTTCAGACCCTGCAGGACACGGGCCGCGGAGGCTGCAGATGTGTGGCGCCACCTACAGAAAGAACCAGAAATTGCAGGTGACGGACACAGGGACCTCCTGCCATTCGAGCCAGAGAGAGAAAGGGGGGAGGAGGAGAGAGAGAGAGAGAGAGAGAGAGAGAGAGAGAGAGAGAGAGAGAGAGAGAGAGAGAGACCAGGTGTGGCCCTGATGGTCCCATTGTCAGGCTCAAGCACAGAACCCTGCGGTTCACAATGCTGGCCAGTGAGGTGACCCTCTAATCCTGCTAGGGTGGCCCCTATTCGGAAAAATGGGGGTGGGGCTGGAGCAGTAGTACAGTGGGTAGGGTGGGGCATATTTATCTAGTATGCGGCTGACCACCAGGTTTGATCCCTGACATCCCTTAGGGTCCCCTGAATCCTGCCAGGGGTGATCCCTGAGCACAGAGCCAGGAGTAAGCCCTGAGCATCATCAGATGTTACCTGAGAACTACTGATTGTGGCCCCAAACCCCCCAAAAATTATTTAAAGTATTCCTGGGCTGGAGCGATAGCACAGCGAGTAGGGCGTTTGCCTTGCACGCAGCCAACATGGCTGACCCGAGTTCGATTCCTCAACCCCTCTCAGAGAGCCCGGCAAGCTACCGAGAGTATCTCACCCGCATGGCAAAGCCTGGCAAGCTCCCCGTGGCGTATTCGATATGCCAAACACAGTAACAACAAAGTCTCATGATGGAGATGTTACTGGGCCCGCTCGAGCAAATCGATGAACAACGGGAGGACAGAGGACAGTGACAGTGACAAAGCATTCCTATTCCTGGGTCCACAGAGATAGCACAGTGGAGAAGGCGTTTGCCTCGCTGAGTAGGTAGGGCTAACCCAGGCATTCCATCCCTGGCATCCCATAGGGTTCCCCGAGCAGGAGTGATTCTGGAATGCAGAGCCAGGAGTGACCCCTGAGTATCACTGGATATGGCCCCCAAGTTAAAATAAAAACAAAAGCTTGCCTATTTGGCCCAGAGGGAGAAAACTCAGACATAAGTCAAAACAAAAAGAGCAAAATGCTTTTTGCTCCCTTCAAGGGAGCCAAGAATGGGCAAATGAGCGTGGAGTCCCGACAGACCAGGTTTGATGCCCGACATCTCAGAGGATTCCCTGAACCCTGCCAGGAGTGATCTCTGAGCACAGAACTTGGAGGTGAGCCTATACCCAGGGATACTGCAAGAGGTACCCACCCTGGTATAATTGACCCCTTGGTTGCAGGTTCTATTTAGGCAGGATCTAACTACTCCCTCCCGCCCACCTTCCCACCCTTTGTGATTGTTCTCAAGGCCAAAGGGGGTAAGAAATTCAGGAACCCTGATCTCATCTGGCCATCTACTGAATAGATTTGGGGGAAAAACAATAAGCACACTGGAAAATAGAACAGCGGTTATTGGCGTTGCACATGGCTGACTCTGATTTGATCTCTGGAACCCCATCGGGTCCCTGAGCACCACCAGGAGTAATTCCTGAGCACAGAGCCCAGAGGAAACCCTGAGCACCGCCAGGTGTAGCATAAAAACCTACAAAACCCGGGTCGGCTGTGTGCAAGGCAAATGCCCGACCCGCTGTACTATCACTCCAGCCCCACTGGGACCCTTCTTAATGCTATGTTCCCCTTTGGGAAACACCCCGCTGTGCTGAGGGCTGACTCCTGGTTCTGTGCTCAGGGATCACTCCTAGTGGGACTTTGGGGACCCTATGGGATGCTGGGGATCAAACTCAAGAGGATGGCATGCAATGCAAGCACCCTCCGCACTGTACTATCGCTCCAGCCCTTTTTCCCTGACTGAGAGCCTCATTGATGGATGTTTGAAAAGACGGCCACTCAGTCAGCCTGTGGAGATGCACAGCAAGAGCTCAGGAGAGACAGGCAAGAAATAAACCTGTGTGGCCCACGAGACTGAGCCAGGTTCGATCCCTGGCATCCCATATGGAGAAGCAAGGAACAAAGGGAGGGGAATCGCTCCTGGTGAGATTCGTGGGGCCATCCCACAAATGGCCCGGGATGGAACTAGGGTCAGCCACGTGGATGGCAAATGCCCCACCCACTATACTACTGCTCTGCCCTCTCTTTCTTTCTTTCTTTCTTTCTTTCTTTCTTTCTTTCTCTCTCCCTCCCTCCATCCTCCCTTCCTCTCCTAAGCCGCCATCCATCTCCTATCCCTCCCTCCCTCCCTCCCTTTCTTCCTCCCTTTCTTCCCTCCTCCCTCCCTCCCTCCTTTCTCCCTCCCTTCCTCCCTCCCTCCCTTCCTTTCTCCCTCCCTTTCTTTCTTCCTCCCTCCTTTCCTTCCTTCCTCCCTTCCTTCCTTCCTCCCTCCCTTCCTTCCTCCCTCCCTTTCTTCCTTCCTTCTTTCCTTCCTTCCTCCCTCCCTCCTTCCTTCTTCCCTCCCTCCCTCCTCTCTCCCTCCTTCCCTCCCTCCCTTCCTTCCTTCCTTCCTTCTTCCTTCCCTCCCTCTTTTCTCCCTCCCTCCCTTCCTTCCTCCCTCCCTCCCTTCCTTCTTCCCTTCCTTCCTCCCTCCCTCCTCTCTCCTTCCCTCCTCCCTCCCTCCCTCCCTCCCTCCCTTCCTTCCTTCCTTCCTTCCTTCCTTCCTTCCTTCCTTCCTTCCTTTCTCCCTGTGATTCCATTTTCCATTCCAGCTCCCGATCCCGATTTCAGTCCTTCACCCTCATCCCCTTCTCCCTGCTGCAACCGGGGTCCTTCCCATCCTCTCTCCTGCTGGTCCCCAATGTAGGCACTCCTATTCTTCCCTCCTGTTCCTGTCTTCCCAGGAAGTGGGGGCGGGGCGTTAGGGTCAAAGGGCAGCCTGGGCACACCCACACCCAGACCTTAGGCTCAGAGCCGCACCCCCACCCAACACACACAGGATCTGCACCCCCAAAGCACAGCATAACATCCAGAAACTGGCAACCATGTAGGGCCATTTTCATCTGAAGGACACCTATTTTTGTTCGATTCCAAACATTTAAAAGAAATCAGATTTCCTCCAAAATGGCTTCTATTGAAACATCGGAAGATAATGGTCATACCGCACCCCACCCCCAGCCCCCAGCACCCCTTTCCCCAGAGCACGTGGAGCCCGACGAGCCAAGCCAGCTGCACCCTCGGCATCCCCAGGTCGGTCCCAGCCTTTCTTCCTTGGGGCTGCGGCGTCTGTAGATGCTTATCTGAATACTGGCTGATGTGAGGTGGGTTTTTTTTTCCCTTCTTTTTTATCAGAGTTAAGAGGGAAGCTGAACATTTTTCATAACCCTTCTCTATCAAAAGTGGGAAACAAAAGACAGACCAAGAGAGGGCCTCGTGTATCAAGAAATGCCGAAGAGCTTCTCTTTGTGCCAGCCAAGATCATTCTGAGCTGCCCAATCCGCAGTGCCTGAGCCCAGAGTCCGCGGCCCCCGCGAGAGCGTTCTCCGTCCTCGACCCCGCGCTCCCGGGGCGACCCCTCCCCTCCTTCTCCCTCGGACCCCCGCCCCGCCGCCCCCTGCCCCCCCATCACTACCCAGAGCCCCGAGGAGAGCGTTTGTCATTTCCTTTCTCCTTCAAGGCTACACACTCTTGTTTATTCTAACCGGATTAAGGGATGGGGGGGCGGGGAACGGAGGGTTCTTGCCGGAGGCGGAGGCTCTGGGAGCAGACGTGACTTGCCCAAGGTCACAGAGCCGGGAGAAGGAGGCGCCTAGCCTCAGCCTACCCCCAGGTCTCGGGTTCCCCCCCGAAAACGCGCCTCCGTTTTGCACGCCCACGGCCTCCGCGCCGGGCGCGCCCAGGGCGCAACCCCCTAACGCCCGGCCGAGGGCGCTACGCCAAAGGGGGGGGGGTTTCCCGGTCGCCGAGATGCAGGGCGGGGGGGGGGGAAGATTAGGGGTTTTCCCGCGGGGGGTCCCGCGGGCGACGTGGCTGGCAGTGCGGGTGGCCCCCAAGTCTGGCCTGCAGCCTGGCTCGGTCGGAGTGTGCGTGTGTGTGTGTGTGTGTGTGTGTGTTGTCGGGGGGTGGGCCAGCACCCCGCGCGAGCTTTCCCGCAGTCCCCGCTCCACGCCGCGGGCTGGTGGCGTGCGTACCGCGGCGCGCCGGCGGCCCCGGAGCGCGGCCGGGGAGGCGGAGAGTCGGGGTGGCGGGGAGAGGCGGGGTGCCAAGTGCAGGAGGAATCGAACCCGGTCCCCCCACTGGTCCCGGGTTGCTCTCTGCAGGGCTGGCGCAGCCCCGGGGTCGCCGCAGCCCTCGGCCCCTCCCGGGCCACCTGTGCGCAGATCGGCGGGTCCCCGAGAGCCCGGATCCGGGCATCCGATCCACTCCGGGTTTCTGACTCCTGGGGACCTCGCAGGGCGGGTGGGTGGGTGGGAGCAAACCTTCCCGCCGCCCCCCACCTTTCCTTTGCAGAGTACCCCCAACTTCTCCCCCGGGGGAGCCTCGGGCGACGCCGGGAGGGATCCCCAGTGTGTCGGGGGGGGTGGCGCGCGGCGCGGGGTGGCCGGGCCCCTCCTCCCGCACCCCGCGCCCCGCCCCGCCGCCTCTCCCGGCTCCGCAACTCCAGTCCGCGTTTTGCGGCGCCCGGCGGCCCGCGCTCTCCGGCTGCGGGTACCGCGCGGCGGCTGGTTCCGTGCGCGGCGCGCTGGGCGCTGCGCTCCGCCCCGGCTGCATTGCTGCGCTCCGGGTGCCCAGGGGAGCCACGCGCCGCGTGCGCCCCGAAGCCGGTCACCCGGCCGCCGCGCCGTCCGCTGGCATGGACCCCGGGGGCGTCCCGGGCAGGGGCTCCGCGCCGAGGCGCTGAAAGCCGCTCTCCCGCCCGCTTGGTGGGGGGACACCCCCCCGACACCCCACACCCCGCACCTCGCCGGCCCGCTCGCCCGTCCGCCCGCGGTCATGGCCATCCGGCCCGGCCTGTGGCCAGCGCTCTTGGGCATAGTCCTTGCGTCCTGGCTCCGCGGCTCGGGTGAGTCACGCGCGCGCCCCGGGGAAGCGGCGGTGGGGGGGTGGGGACCGTGCGCGCGATCGCTGGCGGCTAGGGTGGCGGGGAGTATGTGTGTGTGTAGGGAGGGGGGTCCCTGACCCCGCGCTGCCGGCCCGGGCTGGGGGGCGCCCCCCTCCCGGAGGCCAAACTTTGCGAGGCGGGACGCGGGGGCTGTTTCTCGCGGCTGCTACGCGGCTTCCCCGCGCGCCTCCCCGGAAGCCTGGGTTCTGCCAAGTCCAAGAGCAGCTGTCAGCGCGCGGAGCTGGCGAGTGTAGACGCCCCACGCCTCCAGGCGGGGGAAGTTTGCTGTTTGCCCGGCCCCCGGAACCGGGTCGAGGGCGTTGCATCCACGCGCCGGGCCGGGGCGGGGGCGGGAGAAGCCCTGATTCTGGGGGTTGCAGATGGGAAGCTTGGGGGGTCCATCCCAGATGTCTGGAGGAAATGGAGGAGATATGGGGACCGGGGGGGTGCAGTCAAGAGACCGCTTCCGCGTGACCATCTGCCCCAAACTGCCCCTTGGCATCTTACGGCTTGGCACCCGGCCTCAGCCTACGTCCAGAACACCGCGTCCTCTGTCCCCGAGACACGCTCGCACACGCAGGCTGGCAGTGGGGGCGCGCAAACCAGCCCCCCCAAAACCTCTCTGCCAGACTTGTCACAGCATCACAGCCCAGCCAGACAGTGGTTCCTGGCTCTCCCGCCCGTGAGGGGCCACACTGACGCCCCGTCTGGCCTCTGCGCCTCTGCGTTCCTTTCTCACCCACCTTTCTCCCCTGTCTACCTAACGTGGCCTGACCCATGCATACCTGGGGAAGTGGGTGTTCCCCTCATCCTTTGTCTGCTCCCCCCTAGCTTCACCTGAGCAAGAGCTTTATTTGTGTGTGTGGGGGGGGCGCTCTGGATCTTTACACCCCCTCAATCCCATGCAGTTTTCAGAGCTGAGCTTATATGCTTATATGTAAGTGTTTGGGGGGCACACATTTGTGGAATCAGGGGCCTGAGGTGTTAGCCCAGCACTTCTTTCTCTTTGCCCCGAGGAAGGATCTGGGGGGGGTGCCCCATTCCTGTGGCCCAGACAATGAAGAAGAAGCTTAGTATTGTGGAAAAGAAACCCTAGTCCCAGAGGCAGGCGTTAATGGAGATCATGGGGGAAGATTTTGGAGATCGGCAAGACTGAGTTGGTCAGTCTGGTGTGGGAGCTGGGTCTCTGCGTGGTGGGGCCGGCTGGACCCCCCCCTCAGCCTCCCTCTCACCCCATCTCATCCCTTCCATCAGCCTCCCTTCTCCCCTCCTACCCCACTCCGGTCACTCCTCACTTTAACAAACCACCTGCCCCTCTGTCTCCGGTCCAGAGTGAAGGCAGCGCATCACCGTTGCCAACCTGAGACTGGGGGCTACTGAGGTGTGTGTGTGTGTGTGTGTGTGTGTGTGTGTATGGCTCAGGGGTGTCGGCTGCCCCACAAAGCATGATGGTGAACAGGAGGCAGTGTGTGTGTGTGTGTGTGTGTGTGTGTATGGCTCAGGGGTGTCGGCTGCCCCACAAAGCATGATGGTGAACAGGAGGCGGTGTGTGTGTGTGTGTGTGTGTGTGTGTGTGTGTGTGTGTAGGGGGTGTCCAGATACCCCTCACCAATGCTAGAGGCCAAACTGGTACCCAGGAAATGTTGCACTGGATGAATGTATCCAAGGGCCGGTGGCGGGGTCCTGTCTGTGTGTTTGTGTGAGGGCCTTGGGGTTGCAGGTGTATGTGTGTGCGTGTGTGTGCGTGTGTGTGTGTGTGTGTCCGGAGGGAGTGAACACAGGTGAGCCTGTAAAGAGAAGCACCCAACGGGGTGCTGTGAGTCAGGGTGCCGCAGCCTGTGATGGTGATGATGGTGTGTAGAGGTGTGGCGGGGGGGGGGGGTGTGCAGAGGAGGGGGACACTGCGTTCCAGGTTGGTAGTGCCACCTGTTGGGGTCTGAGACCACCAATGCTGCAGGGGAGTGGAGAGCAGAGCCAGCCTCCAGGCAAGCAATCTGCAGCCTCAGGAGCCAGCAAGCCCATCCCGTCTCTCCTGCGGGGGGAAGGGGGGGGATGGGGGGGTAGTGAAGGGTCGGCTGCAATCCCCCTACCTCGCCCCCCACGCTCTAGGCCCTGGTGCCCCAGTCCCGATGCCTCCACGGCCCCTGCATCCCCCCCCCACCCCACCCCCATGACCCCGCCGTGACCGCCCATCGTTTCCCCAGGCTACAGCCCGGAGCGGAAAATGCGCGCGTGAGTGGCCGAGCGCCGGCCGGCCGGCAGGGGGCACTCGGGGCCAGAATGTCCGCAGCCTCCTGCTCCCCAGACCAGGCGCGCCCCCCTCCCCTGTCGCCCAATATGGCCCCCGAAAGCCTGTCTTGTCGCACTCACCCCCCTCTCCGGGAGCGGGGTGCAGTGCCATACACCTGTCTCCCCACCATTCGTAGGCTCAACCTGCCTGGGTGCCCAGGGAGGCTGGTGCACACCTGGCGGCCTTCCTAGCATCCCCAGAATCATGATGCTTCTGCAGACGGGGTGTGTGGGAAGCTGGTTCTCTTGGAAGGTGGGACTGAGGGACCCCCACTTCCAAGCTGTGACCTCTCCAAGGCCAGCGCCCCCACTATCTAGCCTGGTGGGCTACTATCTTCCTCAGCATCCCCCTTTAAAAGTATTGGGGAGGGGCTACACCCGGTTGTGTTTAAGGGTTACTCCTGGCTCTACATTCAGGAATCACCCCTGGCAGTGCTCGGGGGGGGGGGGCCCTATGGGATGCCGGTGATAGAACCCGGGTCAGCTGTGTTCAAGGCAAATGCCCTTTTGTCACTCCGTTCTCCCACCCTCACCCCACACCACTTTACACCCTCCAACCCCAGGCTGGAGCCTTCAGTTGGAGGCTGAGAGGGAGAGAAGATCTCTAAATTCTCCAGAACTTAGAGATCCCTGCTTTTATGCCCCCTTGGGAATGGGGGGGGAGATCTTGCACCCCCTGTGCCCCTCCCAGAGGGCCCCTTGTATCAGGAGCAGTTTTCCCCCTTCCCCCAGGAATTTGGGGGTTGACATGAAGCCAGGAAAACCAACCCCACCCCCATCCCAAACCAAGTGGCCAGGATGTGTCTCTTCCCAAACAGCTGGATTTGACCTCTGCCAAAGTTATTCCTGTTTTCTATTCTTCCTTTGTTTTATGGGGATGGAGCACTCCTGGGGTCCTTAGGCCTGACATTACTCAAGGGCCACCAGGGCCACACCTAGTGGCTCTCAGAAGCATGGAGGGAACATGTGGATGCCTGGGATCAAATCCGAGCCTCACATGTCCAATCATGTGCTCTACCCTTTTGGCAGGGAAGGGGGGGAGGCGGAGAAGGGGGGTGGTTGGGGGCCACACTCAGGGCTTCCTCCTGCCTCGGCCCTAAGGGATCACTCCTGGAGGCTAGCAGTGACCCCTATGTGATGCTGGGGATCAGAGCTGTGTCAGTGGTGGGCAAGGCGAACACCCTTCCCTAGCCCTGCACTCCTTCTTGAGGTCTGGTGTTGCCTGGGAGGCCCCAAATCTGCAGGAAGAGGCAGGAGAGGCAGGATCTGGCCTTAAATCCTCCGGGTGGAGCAGGATTCCTTTCTCCAGAACAAGGCTTTAGCGCAGGTGCCCACCTGGTTGATGCTTAAACCCTGGCGTTGGCCCCGCCCCCTAGAAGCGGGCCCCGCCCCGGCCCTGGCCCCGCCCCTGGCCCCGCCCCTCGCACTCGCCCCACCCCCAGCACCTTTTCTTTCTCCAGCCCCTCTACCCTCCTCCAGAACTCTCCGCTTCGCTCCTTTCTCCGCATCCTTTCTCCTTCACGCTTCACGTCTAATCTGTCACCGTGTCCTTAAGCTCAGCTGCCCGCGACATTGCCCGTGGCCCCTCCTTTGTCACCCTCCAGCCCCTCCCACGCCCATCCTCCGTCCACTTAGAGGCCAGACTGGACCCCCCAAGTGAAAAGCGACCCTGCACCCCGGGAACGCACCGCCCCCTTATCCCCACGTACCGTGGAGTGTGCTGGGGGTTCTCGGTAGGGTGGGGGGTCCACGCGCGGACCCCCGCCCCCCAGAGCCCTGGAGTCCACTCTCTAGCCCCTTGCCTATCACACAGCTTGGCACCCTGGGCCCTGCCAACCCCCGCTCCCCACCTTGTCCCCCAACAACCCAGACCTAGACCGAGGCCTTGGTTGTGTATTTGGGGGGACTAGGCCTGAATCCGGCCCCCTCCACACAATCCTATGGTTCCCTCCAGGGCCAGTTACACGGGAATGAGATTTGAGTGGGCTACGGATGGAGGGGCTCATTCTTCAGTGACCCCCAATCACGTGGGAGCCCGAGACAGCGTCAAAAGCTTCCAGCTTCAGCCATTTCCTCAGTTTCTCCTGTGCCCACCCCTCCCCCCCTCACAGACACCCCAATGGTTCCTGATCAATCCTCTATTGCCTCGGTCTGAGTCAGGGGTCCCTGGCTGCGTTCGGAGCACTTCTACCCAGGAAGAGAGAAGTTTGTTCAGCTTTTCCAACACCACCTTAGCACTAATTCTCCCACCACAGCTTTTTTGGGTTGTTGTTATTTGTTTTAGGGCCACACCCTGCGATGCTCAGGGGAAACTCCTGGCTCTGTGCTCAGGGATCACTCCTGGCAGTGCTCTGGGGTCCCTATAGGATGCCAAGGATCGAACCCGGGTCAGCCAGGTGCAATGCAAGCGCCCTCCCTGCTGGATTATCTTGCACAGATGGACAAGCCTAGACCCTTTCCCAGGCAGAGATAGTCCCAGATGTTTTTTTTCTTTTTTTTGAGGCGGGGAGTAGGTGAGGGGTCGGCCTTCCTGGCTTGGTGCTCTCTGCACCAAGGTTTTGGAACCATGAGGTTCTGAGAATTCTGAGCCCGTGCTCTAGAGCTCTGAACTCTCTTGCTGAGGTTTGCGGGACCCGTGTCTGAGATCTCCAAGCCCGCTAGGAACGGGACTG